TTATTGCTATTACATCATGAAATAAATAATACTTTATATCAAATATTTTTTTATTATTTTATTAAATTATCTACAATTTCATCACATATAAAATATATTTGACAAGGACTACAATTTTCTTGATTTATTAAGTGCGCAATAACATCATGTAAAATATAATTAGAAACAAAATTGGAATTGTGATTAAGTGATCTCCGTCTAAGTTATGTAGTGTCATTGAATAATATTATATACTAGTTTTTTTGAATAAAATACAATTAAAAATAAAAAAATAATCTTTTTATTTTACTAAGTCGAATTCGGTTCAATGTATTTTTAGCTTTGAACTGGATGCAATCCAGTAAAAATAGTGAAGCATGGCTATGTTGTTTGGGTGATTCCTTCACACAGAAAACAACAAAATGTTGCTTTTCTTTCCCTGCATTTCAAATACATATTACTGTGAGATTCATGAACAATAAATAACATTTTAATTGGTACCAAACCATTGTTTTTTTGTTTTTAAAGTCATAAACATTCACAATTTATGGTGGAATATGATTTCTTTCATGAACTTGCAACCTGCAATAGATGCTACTTAATGCATTTTTAATTTTTTTAAGTAAATTCAATTCCTAGTTTTTTTTTTGAGATAAAAATTAATTTTTTTTCTGCTGACAATTAAATCTGTAATCTTTTTATTAGCTAGTTATAAAATTTAGTTTAGCTTGATAAATTATACTACTAATTATAAGCATGACTTGAAAAGGGGATTTCAAATAAATTTTTACCTCTCTCTTTACTTTTTTTTTAATTAAAATTATTTTCTACATAAATACATTTACCAATTCTTAATTTGCTTTAAAAAAGGAAAAAGAAATAAAGAAACATAAAGGACTTGCCATCTTTAAGTTGGGCTGGGTCGCCTGTGAGTCCAGCCCCATCTACTGGTTGAGCAGACTGCAACGACGTCGTTTCGCAGCTGCCCAGCAAGCATGCGGAAAGTTAAATTAAAAAGAAAGAAGTGACCCCGGCTTCAAGTCAGCTGCGGTGGTTCCCTTCCTCGATAAAGAGAACGTTACTATCTGACGTCCATTACCAAGAAGGAAAAAAAAATGGCAACCATAAACAACGACGGAGAAGACGCAGCGCGACGTCGCAATGCAGAGGCGGAGTACCGCAAAAAGTTACTCCACCACAAAGAGCTCGAATCCAGAGTTCGATCTGGTCAGACGACACTCACTCTTTAATGACTTTGAACTTCAAATCATTTCTTTAATTACTTAATCGAAGATCTAATCTGGTTTCTTAATTTCCCCCCTTGTCCTCTCATATCTCTTCTTATTAATTACCAAATTTAGGATTTTGTTATTGTTTTCTATCAAATTTGCCTGTAGAAATTCAGATTAAAAATTGTTTTTTTGTAGAATTAGGATCAAGTCGCGAGTTAATAATAGTATGGGTAACGTGTGAAAATGTTGGTTTTGGGATTATGTTAATGCAGCGAGGGAGAATTTGAAAGCTGCAAAAAAAGAATTTAACAAAACAGAAGATGATTTGAAGTCTCTTCAAAGTGTTGGTCAGATTATAGGAGAAGTTCTTCGACCTCTTGACAACGAACGCTGTACGTTTGCCTCCTCAATCCTTTTTTGCTTGCTGTATATATTTATAATTGGTTGCATCATGTGCCCGATAATGCTAGTCTTGATTTTTTTTTTTTTAATTTGTTAGTGATTGTTAAAGCTAGCAGTGGACCTCGGTATGTGGTAGGCTGCCGTAGTAAAGTGGATAAGGAAAAACTGACTTCAGGAACCAGAGTGGTTCTTGATATGACTACGCTTACGATTATGCGTGCTCTTCCGCGTGAAGTAAGTCATTGTGGCTTCTTTAGAACACAGTTTAATGTCAGATTTTGTAGTGTGTGGTGAATGGTGTCCAATTTTGTGCGTGTTTTGGGCTGGCAGGTTGATCCAGTTGTATATAACATGCTGCATGAAGATCCTGGTAATGTGAGTTACTCGGCTGTTGGTGGTTTATCTGATCAGATTAGGGAATTAAGGGAATCCATCGAGTTACCTCTGATGAACCCTGAGCTTTTCCTTAGGGTGGGGATTAAACCTCCCAAGGTGATCACGCTACTCTTCCTTTTCTTCTCTACTTTCCTTTACTGCTTGAGTGAGTAAAAACTGGGATGTGGTAAAAATAAAGCTATTGGCAGTATTATGCCCTGTGTGAATAAGCTAGATTAATTTCTATCTCATATTTCTTACCCTTTTTGTTTCAGGGTGTCCTTCTTTATGGACCTCCTGGTACTGGGAAGACATTGCTGGCTAGGGCTATTGCGAGCAACATAGATGCCAACTTTTTGAAGGTCAGATCATGTTACCTAGCTTTTACATGCTCGCACACACACACACACAAAGATGTGTGTGTGTGTGTGTGTGAGTGTGTGTGTTGTATTGGTTGGAGTTGGCTATCTGTGGTTAACATGCTGTATTTTTAAACTGGATTAAGGTTGTTTCAAGTGCCATCATTGACAAATACATAGGAGAAAGTGCTAGGTTGATACGCGAAATGTTTGGATATGCACGCGATCACCAAGTAAGAGTCTTAGTTTCGTGAATTTGTTTCATTCTGACTAATTTATAACTCCATTAAATATACAAATTGCTTTTGTCTGTCAAGCCCTGCATCATTTTCATGGATGAGATCGATGCAATTGGTGGACGCCGTTTTAGTGAGGGAACAAGTGCTGATCGTGAAATCCAAAGAACATTGATGGAGTTGCTTAACCAACTTGATGGATTTGATCAGCTTGGGAAGGTAAATTTGGTTAATAATCTGATTCAACTTTGCATTTTGACACTAAACTGAAACTTTCCTTTGGGAGGGTTTTTTGTGGAAAGATAGGTGGGGTTTTTCTTTTTTTATTGTTTACAAATACATATAATGGGTTTGCTTGGGATATTCTACATCTTGCACTTCTTTCGTATCCTGTCTGGTTTGGTAAACTCTTGTTGTAAGCTGGTTATTGTTGAGGAAGTGAGTGGATATCACCATTGGGTTTGCATGTGTCTAGGCCATTGCAGCATCCAATTCATATGACCCTTAATAATCGCTCTAATTCCCTGTTGAAATTTGCGGGCCTTGTAGTTTCAAAATAAATCTCTTGTAAATTTAAGTGTTAGCAGCTTTCTATATCTGTACCATATCCCTGCTATCCACATCTTTACCAGTTACTTTCATGTACTAGTTATCTATACACATGTTTAGATGTTTAAGTCATACAAGTATTGAATCAATTAGGGGGGAAATGAGTATTCAATTGTATGTTGTAGGTTAAAATGATAATGGCAACGAACCGCCCTGATGTTCTTGACCCTGCACTTCTTCGTCCGGGAAGATTAGACAGAAAGATAGAGATTCCACTACCAAATGAACAGTCAAGAATGGAAATCCTTAAGATCCATGCTGCTGGGATTGCCAAGCATGGGGATATTGATTATGAGGCTGTTGTGAAACTTGCAGAGGTGAGTTAGTGGTCGCTTTGGTTTTTTTGTACATTGACTGTTCATTTAAATGATTGTTGCGATTATATCAGGGTTTCAATGGAGCTGATCTTCGTAATGTTTGCACGGAAGCTGGGATGTCAGCAATCCGTGCAGAACGTGATTATGTCATCCATGAAGATTTTATGAAGGTAAATTTAGTGTTTAAAAAATGTGTTCTTGTGCATGGATTTGTCCACTTTATGTGCTCAGTTTCATATTGGTCGGAATTTATTGCAGGCTGTACGGAAGCTTAATGAAGCAAAGAAACTCGAGTCTAGCGCACATTATAATGCTGATTTTGGCAAAGACTGATTCATTCTTTCTTTACAGGCCATGGATTTTTATTCGACATGATATCTTCTCACAATGCCAAATTTCTTTTTCAATTACATCTTGTCTCTTGTATTGGTTTTGAACTTCACGGACAAGTTTACATGGTTATTTGAGATGATATCGTAATTTGAATGGCTAAACCGTTGCAGATTTAGAAGGTATTTGGTATTGTGGTTGGAACTGTGTTTTGTTCCAACTATAATTTTTAATCATTTGGTAAATATTTGAAACACAGATTTTGAAGATAGGTTCCACTAAAAATTAAGTTTACACCACTGGTTTTGTAAAATAGAAAATTACTGCTTTTCAATTCACTTTTGCCCGCCTGCTGTTGAGGGAAAGTAAAACTCAAGGGTCCACTCAATTTGATATATTTACTTCTTTCATTCTTAGCTCAAATAGGAGTATTTTGTGGGCAATCATCATCATCTACATATTGTCGAGTGGATTCACCTGGCACTATTCATGTGAACAGTGCCGGGTGAATTAATTCATGGGTTCGGGTGAATTAATTCATGGGTTATTGTCCTTGTTTATATGAATAATTAATGCAATGAATTGACTTATATTGTTCACATTATGTAAATATGAATAATAATTTTATTTAAAAAATAATTTAAGATGAATTAAATTTACTTGTATCGGAATCTCAATTTTATTCTTGATAATATTTTATTTAATTTTATTATATGCTTAAAAGATTATGGAAACTGTAGTTATTGTCGGATGAATGTAGTTATTGTCGGATGAATTTCATGCGTAATGGAATTGTAAATAGTTTAATGGAATAATAAAAAATATTTTATATAAAGTATGATTTATTTTATGATGTAATAACAATATTTAAATTAAAAATCATAAATATTAATATATATTTTTAAAAATTATTTTATAACTTCAATTTCAAAAGTATTTTGTAACCAAACACATTAAATTATATTTTGTCTAACTTTAATTTTAATTATAGTTTTAACCAAACATATATTTTTTCAAATCAACCTTAACTAAAAATATTTTTTTTCAAATATTTTTTTTCAAACCACAAACCTCTCAACATATGGTCTGTTGTGGTCGTGGGTTTACCCAAATCAATTTTAACTAAAAATATTTTTTTTTAAATATTTTTTTTCAAACCACAACCACAACATATGGTCGTGGGTTTATTTTGTTATACAAAATCATTAAACTTTATTTTACAATTTTTCAATGTCGACTAGGTTTTTAGATGCAACCCTTTTGGTTAGCTTGTAGTTCATCATCCTGGCAATCTTGAAGAACCAGTAAGCACTAACCAGCTGCAATCCCACTGCCATTGCCTAAACAACATTAATGTGATTTTAAGCATCGATAATGACGAATATAATATGTTATGTATTCATTCAGTCCAAAAAAAATAAGTGAACGTAGAAGTATTCCTTTGGTACCTTGATAACGAGAGGGTTGTCGGCTGTAAGAGTCACCCAAGCAAGGTAAGGCCCAAAAACCATTCTTGCAAACGAGAATACAACTGCAAATAAGATCTGTGCAGCGTTGCAACACCAATCAAGATTTTTAATTATATTGTCTGTGGATATTAAAGAATTACCAAGTCCCAACAGCTGATATGAGATGAAGATATACAGAAGAAGTCACCAGCCACAGATGAATTTTAAATCGAGGCTTAAAGAGTAGCTTACATCAGCAGCCAAATTAAGGTCAGTGTCCCTGTAACCAAGCTCCTTGAGAAGTTCTCTCAGGTGAAGGAAAGGGCTGGAGATCTCTGTTATGCATAGGGCTGCAATCAATTCTGATCCACACTATACACAAGGACCAAAAAACAAGAGGGAAAAGATAGAGATTAAAAGCTCTAACAAAAATAAGATTTTTACAGCTTAGAGAAGTGCTTAAGACGGAAATCTGTATAGTCTCAAGAGCATAAAACACAGTTAGAGTTCTAGGTTTCATGGCAGTAACAAGAAGGTTAGTTCATCATCTTAGGTGCTATAACTAATCAAAAACATTCGAGGGAGAAGATGAGTACCTTCCCATAGGCAAGGCTTGCTCCTATACCAACAATGCTAACCAAATGGTGTATTGTGTTGTCAATGGTGACTCGCTTGTCGAATTGACAACATATCAGATCATAAATGAGATAAGAAAGGGAAACTGCCAGGGTTTGCATCTGCCCAGTTTCAGAGCATCAACAAGAATATTAAAAGTATTCTTGAATGGATTTGAAGCAAAAGAAATAATCTCAACAGCCCATATTTTGAAAGTAAAATAACTGCATTAATTACCTGACTGGGTGAAGGTCTCGAAGACAGAGGACAAACTGGACATGTCCAGTCTTCAACAGTGAGAGAAGCAAGTGTAAAAGCTAAAGTTGCATGGACCGTAGAAACCAGGCGATTGCAGAATTCAAAAGATCGCTTTGGCAAGAACTTTCTAAAGAGATGAAATGCTGTTGTCCATGAAATGATTCCCAATGTGATTATTCTTAAAATACGCTCTTCCATTAGCTGTCCCTCTTTCTTTTCTATCAAGAATCGCTCAAAAACAACGCAGGATAGTTCAAAACCTCCCCTTTGTAAACAGAAGCTGGTCAAAGATAAGACAAAGAAGACGGAACTGAACAGTTCGGCAAAGCTAAATGAAGAGGACAGGTAGCAAATTTAGCACAACCTTATATGCATTATATAAATGTTCAAGGACGTTCAGAGAGTAAATTATTATCATTATTAAGTTGATTAATTAAATTGTGACGATGTGTAGGTGGGTAGATGACAGTTAACATTGATACATGCTTAGGTATTGATGCCATTGCCTGCCAGAATAATTAGTGAGTTGCCATTGCATGTGGATCCAGGGCGGATTCACTTTGAACTTAATTTACCAAATGATGTTGACGCTGGTTTGGCTTTTTGGGGAAGACGTCAAGACATTAACCAAAAAACGTATTTCACCATTAAAACCTCAGTTTGAGGAAGGTTCTTGTCATTTTGAAACAAAGTAGAGAAAACTGTTTCCTATTTGTGAATCTGTGGATAGTAATGAAACGCGTATGTATCGCGTTTGCCATGTTCGGCTTGGAAGGGAAAGTTGGTGAACGAATTAATCAAGGTTAGGAAGTGGATAGGTGGGCAACCTGATATTTAATATACCATGCTATTTAGCTGTCTTACTAGTTTATACGCGTATGTATATAAATTCCTTTTATCGTGATAAAAAATATTTAAATTGTAGGGAATTAATCAAGGGTTAATTTCCAATGTGCGTATGAAGACACAACTGGAGTGAATTCTTCGTCCAACGGAAAACCCATTTCACGGCAGTTCATGAAGTTTCTGAACCATGCACAGATGCTGATATCCAAGTCTGAAAGGAGAACAGGTTTAAAGTATCTTTGTTTCTCTCGCAGCTGCATTAACTCATGTTTTGTGTGAATAATGAGTGAATAGCATTCATGGAACGAACACGGTCCAATCAGTGGCAAAGAACGTTGGAGTTTTAGATTGAAACATGAACTCCTGCTCCCTAATCTCTTGTGGAAAAGAATAAATCCATCTCTTAAACTGTTCTTCGTTGCGAATAAGTTGGCTCCGCCTCTTCTGTCTTCATCCTGTGGAACAGTGGAATACAATAATGAAGAAATAAAAACTATACAATTTTTGTTTTTGTATTTGAATTTTATTCAACGAAGAATTATTGCAGAATCAATTTTGTATGAAGCAAAATTAACCAGGAGCTGCAGATTCTTAATTTACACATATTAAAGTGATAGTAATCGCACCGAATGTCAGGATGGCCGAGTGGTCTAAGGCGCCAGACTTAAGTTCTGGTCCTCGTGAGAGGGCGTGGGTTCAAATCCCACTTCTGACAATTATTATTTAAATTGTTTATTTTTTTCCTTTAAAAAAATGCAAAATTTCTCTTCCGCGTCGCTTCATAGTTAATTATTTATCTTTGATTAGGGCTTGCATATAGCAGCATCTACCTAATCTAATGTTGGAGGATTATTAGTTAATTATTGTCTTTAAAACTGAAATTAATGGACAGGATTTTGACAATTTAAAGTGAAATATAAGGAATATGAATCCAATAAGAAAGAAGAAATAATTCTTCAACTAAAACATCATATAAAAACTCAGGATTCAAAGTTTTGTTATTAAATAATCTTCTTCTATTAATATGCCTTGAAAACAAGGATTACAACCTCTTAAATATATTTTAAACTAAATTTTATAAAATAAGAATAATTCAAATTTTAATTCAAATAGAAAAATAATATGAACTTGAAAATAAAATTAACAATCCAAAATTAACAATTAAAAATAAAATAAAAACTAATAAATTAATAATTTTTAGATCTAATTTGAAGATATTTTTGAATTAGCTATATAGGAACTTTCAAATCAAATTTGAGTTTAATTCAATATTATAATTAAAAGTTATAAACTTTTCTATAAAAACAAATAGTTTGGCACGATGATTTATTTTTTGGACTTTAACATATAGTTATTAGACCTAATTCAGGGGTTGACCCCGTCAAGAGATCGAGTCCTTGGTTTTATGGGTCCATCGGAATCGACCTGAAAAATAAATGGTAATTATTTATCACCTATGAAGAGTTATCTACTCTGGATCTGATCGTTACTCATCCATTATAAAAAACTCCAACTATAATTTTTTCGGGTGGATCAAAAAGATTATATCTCGAAGCATCTTTATTGGGGTTAAAATTTTTAGATCTCCATCCAACCATGGAAAAGTTATAGCCATGTAAATAGATGAGATGGTTATTGTTTCTTGAAGAATGATCTCAACACTTGCATTATACTCTAAGACTCTTACCTCAATACCAAAACTTGGTGTCAAAAGACTGGCTAGAAGATTCTTAGCAGTGTAATTTGACTCATTAATTAAAAAGTTTACGTGGAAAGTTTTTTTGAAAAACACCAGCAACCCCAAAATAGCAAGCTTGAAGAATATTCAAAGATGGAGTTGTAAAGCTAATGTTATTCATACTAGTTGCAAACCTTTTATTAAAGGGACCCGTGCAAGGTTTATAAGCACTGCAATTAAAAAAGTTAATAAATATGATAAAGAATAAACTAGTGTAAACTTTTTATGGAATGTGGGTTTTTATTGGACTTCAAAACTGTTTAGTAAAGTCTATGGATGTTTGTGTTCCATTGTATGAAGGAAGAGGTGAAAATGAGAAAATTTTGGTGGATGATAAATGTCATGGTATTCTAAAAAAACAAATCAGATCTCATTTGGGTTCACCCAGACCATAGATTGACCCACCAGGTCAATCGGGTTTTGCCGGGTGATTGTATTAGTTAGTTTTTTAACAAACCTAAAACCAATTCACCCATTAAATTAACCAGATCCTGAGTCAACTTATTAGGCTAAACCGAGTTTAATAATTGTGCTATAACATATCCATATAGCACAAATATGTATTTGCTATTCTTATTAAGGATAATTGTGCTATAACATATCCATATAGCATTTGCTATTCTTATTAAGTAAGTGAGTAAAATTGGTTCATATCCAATTTATAACAAGAATCTCCCGCATTAGAGTTTCTTAACCTGAGAAACCAATCAAGCGTGCTATTTGTTAGATTTTCTTACCAAATTCTTATTTATTTACTTCCATGAATTATTTTTTTATTTTTCATTTACATTGTAATTTTTTTATTTATCTTGAAAAGAAAAAAAATAAACAAAAATGTTAATCTTTTTATTAATTTTTTAATTTTTCTATATGATTTTTTATTTTGTTTTTAAAAGTCAAAGAAATCCTTTAGAAAAAGATAAGCTTCATGTAAAAAAATATAAAATCTCAAAGATAATAAATCAAAACTTTCACGAAAATTTAAGTTAAAAAACCATATTTATGAAAAAAAAAATACACAGATTGAATCACGTTCCATCAATGATTTTATCCTTCTTTGATGAAGTAAAAAAAGAAAAACTTCTTTTTAAGATTTACAAAAATAAAAAGCACTTTTTCTATGATAAATAAATAAACAGTTAGCTAAAAATCTTAAAATCGTGAAAAAATGATAACATGAATTAAAAAATAATAAAAAAATCATTCTATTATTTTCTCTTTTATTAAAAACTCCAAGATTAAAAAAAAATATTTTAAAATACTAAGCTATTATTCCCAGTAATATAGACATGTGTCGCACTTCGAATATTATACATCATCAACTCAACCATTTATTTTAGATTAAGAGACTCGGGAATATATATATACACACACAAACACACACACACACACACACACGCCTGTGAGCGTGAATTTGCGTTGAATTAGTTAAAAATTATTCGTTGCATTACTTTCTCCAAACTTCTTCAAGAACGTGTCCAAACTTCAAAATGTCGATGGTGATAAACATTTCAAAAATACAGAGCAACTCGTTAGTGACCGTTTGAGAACACAACACAATTAAAACCACATTTTCTACAAAAATAAATTGATTTTTTTATATGTTTTTTATTTTTTAAAACTTTTTAATATATTTTCAAATAAAAAATACTTAAAAAAAATCCCATGCTACAATTCCAAACACCCCATGGCTAATTTTGTGCAGAAACTTCACATAATAGAACTCACATACCAAGGGCATGGCAATAGGTACAACAGTGGGATAAATATCCATCGTACATGAGAAATTATCCTAGCATTGATAGATGGAATATGAAAGTGCAGAAAATTATCAAAATTCAGTCCAGCCCATGGATAGCAAAATCAAGGGCTTCAGAGATCAGATGGGATGATCCTAGACTACATCTGTAAATGGATTATCTGAATCCTATTTTCCTGTTTCTTTTTCAGAAAACTAGAGCCGAAGAGAGGACGAGTGAGGGACACTGACTGTCGAATAGGCAAGACAAGGATTTGAATAGATCGAATGCGCTCAAAGCCTGAGTTCAATCACAGCCTTCTCCTTCAATCATACAGGATTGTCACATCTCCAGCATTTCCATTTAACTGGGAAAAGGAAAAAAACATAAGTTGAATAAACAGGAAATAGAAAACTGTGCTTGTTAACAAACATAGAATGTGTTATAGAAGAAACCTATGACATTCTAGCATTGCAACTGAAAAAATGAGATAAAAATTTTCACCTCAAACTAGTCAAGTCAATCTTTGCGATGTCTTGCCCAAAACCCTTTTTTCTCTGAAAGGGTTCTACTCCATTTGGACCTAAATGAAAAGCGTCGTCTCAAGAAAGGCTTCAAGGAGGAGCTTGCTACACTAGAACTGGGATCCATCTTTGCAGCTTCTCTGTCTTGTATGGCATTCTTCTGTTGATAAAAATCATCAGAATCACTATCAAGGTAACTATCAATGACTCGGTTTCTTGATATCTTCAGGCTTTTTGCTTTTAATTCTGCTTCTGTTTTTAAAGCTTTTTTGGACATCTTCAAGACTTGCTTCTCTCCGCCCTCGCATATTGGGCATGCAGGATCATACTTGTCAACCTCCGGTGTTGTGGCCTCCAAGCACTCTGCATGGTATACATGACCACATACCAGCATAGCAACCACTGGGAACTCATGGGTGCCAGCAATTCTCTGGCTACTCCACACAGATTTCTCAGTCAACAACTTTGAGCAAGCTCCGCAAGCTTGTGGATCTAAGGAGGGAGAATACGAGAACCTACTGCTACATCCACTTATTTTTCCAAAGCCAGCGCCAAAGTGCTCACTCTCAAAAGACCACCTCCCTCTTTGTGAAGAGGCCACAAGCTCGGAAAAGGTTCTCATGGACCACCCATCTGAAGATCCACCATGGGATTCCACTGCTAAGTCATGGCTGCAAGTGGAGAGCACAAATGAAGACCTTCCTTCAGACAAAGAATAGTTATTTGGTGATTTTAATCCCAGGATTCTACTATCAGAAATCTGTCTTAATAACCGGTGCCCAGGTGAGCGACGAGCCCGTCTCGATGGGGTTGAGTTGGGAGGAAGTGGATGGCCACAAGTCAATAAAGGATCAGCAGTAGGTGTTGAAAATGATGACTGTACAGAATAAGCAATCTTTGGTAATGGCAAGTCTGCAATATCAGGTGATTCTGCCAAGCTCTTGACCTGAAATATATTTAAAACATCAAGCAATCAGCAAGAATACACAAACCAAAAGCCTCCTCAAACAAATTTTGCATCTCAACCGGTTCAAACTCACTTCAATAGGGTAACTGCTTTCCATGGATAGATCTGCATCAAGAAAAGGAAAGAGTAAAGCAAAACATCCCAAAGGCAAGCAGGAAAGGAATACTGTCCAAAAAACTGAGGGACTTGCAGCAATGTGCAAGATAACAGAAGTAAGCAAGTATAGGACACTCCATCACAGCATCACTGTAACTGAAGTCCTCTAAACTGCAAACAGCAGGTGGCCTCTGCCAATCCATGGATGAATTGAAAGTTTAGGTGCCCTACTTGTAAGATATCAATGTACCAGGAAAAAAAAAAAACAGAATGAGAGTTTACATGGACTAGAAACTTGATTTTGAAAATCAGCTAAAGAGAATGCTGCGAAAGTGCTACAGAGCAATTAGGAGCAAAGAAAATGTTTGATGAGATGAGAAACCATAAATGTCAGAAGTACATTGTGAAGATCAATATCTAAAACTTGAATAAGACGCAAATAGCTAGCCTGTTGAAAATGATGACATGATTTGCAAGCAAGACATGGAGTGCATAAATTTTCCACTTTTTGACAAACTTGACTATCTCTGGCGGACTCTTTTCCTTCACTATGGAGAGGAGGAAGTGCTTTAGAATTTTCGATACTATTGCTTGGTGAATGGAATAAGACACTTATTTCTGTTCAAATGAAAGAACACGTGGATTCTTGAAAGAATTTAGAATGGATTACAATGGAAATTCAGTTTTGCAAAAGAATTTAATTTTACATTAAAGAGGATTAAACCAAACAAAGACAAAATTGCAAACCTCTACCTGAAGGTTGAGTTGTCAAATTTACACTCATTCCTTCATGAACCGGTGATTTCAAAGATATAGGTGTTCCAAAGCTCTCAAGTGGGCTTAACCCATCTGAAAGATTACCTCTGTCAGAACCTAAAGTCCCCTTCATCTCCACACTAACATCTCTGCTGACTCCACGAGACATTTGATACGAGGAGTCCTCAATTTCACCGGCCACACGCCTTCTGTTGTCCCAACGAAAACTCAATGTTGGAGAACATCCAGCATTACCATGCAATGCTCGACATCCAGTCCCGGTGGGAAAATCATTACCTCTTGCAGCTACACAACAAGCTGCTCCCATGTTCACTCAAGTATTGCAGGGACTATCTAAATCCACAGAAAAAGCAAACAGCGAGTGGAAGCTTGAAGCAGAAAAGAAACACTCTAATTTCTGTTAAAAATATAAGTACAAATCATCAGCATCTACTAATCCCGAAGCAATTCAAAAGCAGAAATAAATAATCAAATACCAACCTCAAACCATGTCTCGACGCGGAGAGTTATGCTACCATACCATCTACCATTCTGAATAAAAACATGTCGGAACATGAATTTCTTACAATCTAACATTCAAATGTGCAACTTATAACCCACTTCACACTTCACCCCGTATTTTGTTCGGAAAGACAAATGAAGGGTTTTTTTTCTTCCATTTATTAAATTAAATCTCTAAATCCAACACTTAGAGATTCATTAAGCAAGTTAATCAATTCAACACAACCTAATATTCACCAAACACATCATTATTTGGGGAAAATAAGGAAAAAAACACATTGAGCAGGAAAGCAGGAACAAGGATTAAATGTAAAAAAGAGAAGAGAATAAAATAAACAATAAAATACCAACTCGTTGAATCAGAAACTTAAATAAACAAACCTAATAACCCACGAAAAAACTGAAACTAGGGTTTATGAACTCATTTGTTTCAGGAAAAAAATCCCTAAAATAAAAAACAAGGCTAAATAGTTACAGGAAGGAATTCTAACCAAAAGTTATCGATGCAGAAAAAGCTTCGTCGTTTTCTCCTCTACAGTGTCGGTCAGGCGAGAGGGAGAGTGACGAGGGAGAAAGAGAAGGGAGAAAGAGAGTGGAAAAAGAAAATGGTAGAGGATTTTATAAGACACTATGTATTAACTATATATTTAATTAATTTAACGGCGTTAGATAGTGCTCTCCTGCGTGAAATGCTTGGTTTCGTGCTTTTTGGCATTCCAGACAACTGTATTTTTTTTATTTTTTTAAGCTTGCAAATGTTAATATAAAAAATAAATTCAATAAGATATTATTTTAATATATTTTTAATTAAAAAGTAATATCTACCACGTAAGAGAGGTAGTGTAGAGAGGCGACTAACGGTGTTAAAATGGAAATGATGTCCGAGAGTGACTGAATAATTAGCGAAGGCCGTATGGGGAATTGTGCCACACATGATTTTTTGCTTTTTGTGTGTGCGTTATCTTCACTTTTTGTGTGGTTACTTATGGAGGGCGAAACAGTAAATATATGAAAAGAGAGACTGCTGTGCTTTTGCTTTCTTCTTTACCACGCGGAGTGCGCGCTACGTGTCATCGTCTCTTTTCCTTTTTAGTTTCCCTTGCCTTCAAGGAAGGAGGCTGTTCAACTTTTTTTTATTTCACATGCAATATTTTAAAAAAAAAATATTAATTTTTCGAGTTTAAATTTGATGAATTAAACTAAATTATTAAAAAATTAATTGAATTAATTATATTTATTAAGTTAATATTTAGTTTGGTATGCTAAAACCTTATCTCGAAACAAATTAAATTATAAATCTTGATCCCTTGAATCAACTAGCAGGATCAAAATCAGGTTTGACAGCTATAATTTTATGTTTTGAAGTTTCATAATGTATTCCTTTGGTTTTAAAAAGGATTGCCCGACTTTGATGGCGAAGAAAATTGATGATGCAGTGTACCGATTAATAATTTTTTTTATATATATGTGTGTGATAAATAAATACTCATTAAAAGAGAGGGGGTGTATTCCTTAATTATAATCAAAAATAAAATTTATATAAGTGAAAATAAGTTGAGAATTTTATTTGGAAGATTGAATTTGAAAGTTGGGATAAAAATATTATTTAAAAAACAAAACTAAATATTTGTATTATTTAAAATTAAAACCCGAAAGTATTAACTAATTTAAATTGATAAAATTAAATCTTATTTTACCAAATCAATCAAACATTAACTCAATTTCAAAACTTAATTTTAATATTGTGAAAGTCCTATACGAAACCAATAAAAAAAAATAAACATGGTTTCAAGACGACCTAATATAAAACTATTAAACTCAAGTAGAAAAGGTTAAGGGATTTAAAACTAAAGATATTTTGGAAAAAATAAAAAGTAATTAGTATGGCAACCACAACGATTTTGCAACTCATACTGCATTGTGTTGTTTTTTTATGTTATATTTTTATTTTTTTAATATTTTTTTTTATCTTGTCTTGTTTTGTATGTTCATGAATCAAAATATTATTGTATATTATTGTGGTTTATCAAGTATTAATTATGTGAAATTACAATAAAATTATTAAATGAGAAATAAAAATAACTCAATAAAAAAATCGTTGAAGATAAAAAAAATGAAGTTTAAGTTTATTAAATGGAAAACAAAATAACAGGATTGAAAAAAAAACTTGGATGAAAAAAAAAACTAGTATGAAAAAAATAAAGTTGAGATGAAAAAAATACTAAATAGAAAATAAAAAGACCCAAATAAAAATAGAACTTGTGAAAAAAATTAAAGTTAGGGTGAAAAAACAGGAGGGGTTGAAGCTTAATATCAATTAAAAAAAATGACCTAAACGAAAAAAAAAACTCGAGTAAAAAAAATTGAGATGTTTTACTGAATATTTTTTTTAAGTATACTGATGATAATGATAATAGAACACCATGAAAGACTTTTATGGGTCCATCCCATCTTTCACTCCTGACATGTCCCCAGCATATTCTTATTTATTATTATTATTATTATTATTATTATTATATATATTCTCAACACACTGGGCTGGGCTTGATCTACATACCTGAATTGCCACAAAAATAAAGGACCAGAAATTTGCCCAAAACTGCAGTTACTTGTAACAGTCTCGTGGGCTTATCAGACCAATAGGCCGATCCAAGATGAAGGCCGTGGCCCAAAAAATAGAGCAATCCGGTTAATGGATAAAGTAAACACTTACCATTATTGGATCATTGCAACTTACAACCGGCAAATAAATAACTCTTCTGCTGCTTCACGAAGGATAAGACAGGCAACGATGAAACCAACAAGGGACAGCCTCAAATCCTACTGACATCGCAGCTCCATTTCAAGTAGTTCAAATTTCAACCCAAGGTAAAAAATTTTCTCTAAAATCTAACTCCTTACCTCCCTATATTAGCTCAAATAGCCTGGTTTGAATTTTTATATATATATATATATATATATAGTTTTAGTGACTACTGGAAATGGGAAAAAAATATAATAATTGCTTGGATTTTGAGGAACTGAGAAATGGTGCAAGGGATATTAAAGAAACGGGTTTTTTTATAAATCATTTCTCATTTTTGTTAGATTAAAGTTTTGTAAGTTCTCTATTATTTTAGCTGGGATTTTGTTTTTCACTTCAATATTGTTGCTTTGTTGAAGAAGTGGACATGTTTATTAATTAACTGGAATGTAGTTCGTTTTTGTAATTTTAAATGCTCTCTATCTGTTTGATGGAATGTCATTGTGTTGTTCTAATTATTGGGACAAGGGGAGAATGATCTTGTCGAGGTTTGGTAACTTATTTTATGTGTTTTGATGAGTTGATGATGAGGGTAACTTTTTTAATAAAGGGGCAGATTGACGTTATTGGTTGCTTGGAGGGGGGTGGGTTGGTTATAAGTTTTGCTTTTTGCTCTAAATCTTCTTGATTATTGTTTGAAAATAATTGATCATGCTTTCTCTAATACAATTGAATCTTGCAGGACCTTAAAAGGTTATAACATCAAATTTTGTAGCGGAAAGGTACTGAAAATTGGATGATTTATCTTTATTTTGTCACCTAGATTCTGTTGTTATGTTTGATGGCGGAGTGTATGGATGACATTTTGTGTCTTTTTCTAAGTTCTCTTGTCACTGCTGTATTCAACCAGGTACCCAGTGATGCTTCTGAATGACTGCACCATGCCCTCTGGGTCTGGTCTTACTAACACCAGAGCGTGTAAAACTATGCCTGGTATTGTGGTTTCAGCAAGTTTTCCTTGCACAGTTGCCAGGGCTGCATTGTTGAACAGCAGGGCTTCATTGGGGCGACAATTGGACTCTAAATCCTGGTCATCTAGAGGTATGTTTATGTATTCTTTCTCAATTTTTTTCATCATGTGTTTTTTGGAGGAAAGGGAAAGGGAGGGACCAGAGTTAGATTTTGTCAAGGCAACAATTTGTGGTAACTTTTGACCAAGAAGGCATATGAGAAATTTCACCTTAATTAAACAAGTTTTCAACATTACTCTGCTTATTTTGACTGCATCTCAAAAAATCTGTTTTATTTGTACTGATTTTGTACTTTTTACATGGTAGGTTTGCCTTCTTTGCTTCTTTCAGCTGCATCAATGCCTCTCTTAAGTGGAGATTATGGTAGATTTTCACGCAATATTCCCACATATCCTCAGCAGCGCAGATCCTATTCGTGCCCTCGAGCATCAAAAGATGTCCCATACAGTTATCGCTTTCCTCCAATGACCAAGAAGCCAGGATGGTGGTGGAGGACTTTAGCATGCCTGCCCTATTTGATGCCTCTTCATGAAACATGGATGTATGCTGAGACGGCATATCATCTACATCCCTTTCTTGAAGACTTTGAATTTTTGACCTACCCATTCCTTGGAGCCATTGGGAGGTTACCAAGCTGGTTCTTGATGGCATATTTCTTTGTTGCATATCTTGGAGTTGTGAGGAGGAAGGAGTGGCCTCACTTTTTCAGATTTCATGTGGTAATGGGCATGCTATTGGAGATTGCTCTCCAGGTTATAGGTACAGTGAGCCGATGGATGCCACTTGCTGTTTATTGGGGTAAATTGGGCATGCACTTCTGGACAGCTGTGGCATTTGCTTATCTTTTTACAGTCCTAGAGTGCATACGTTGTGCTCTTGCTGGTATGTATGCTGATGTCCCTTTTGCCTGTGATGCGGCATACATTCAAATCCCATATGATTAAGCTGGAAGAGCTTCAGGGCAGAAATGTGTGCTCGCCTCCCTTTTTGCTTTTTTTTTTTCTCTAAATACTTTGAGTCAAAAGCTTTTTGAGCAGAAATAGATCAGTTTATCTAGCAACTGTATAAATGCTGTGATCGGATTACTTGGTTTTGTGCAGAGCAGGACTCACAGACAGAGGGCCGTTACCCTTTCTTGTTAGTTGTGTGAATTTATTTTATAGATTTCGAACGTTAATAACAACTTCCTCACTCTTCCTGATCCTTCTACATAAATCACTGCCTGTGGATTAGCTCAGTGATCATAGCAACCCTGGAATGCTACTAACTTAATACGAGGGTAAAATATTTTTTACTGTTCGCCCTGAAAAATAATTTTACAAGAAATATTTTACTGTAAATATTTTTTAATGGTGATGGCAATGAGATGGTGGAGGCGGTCATGGAAAAGGAGGTGGTGGTGACATGATGGTGATGTTGATTTAAGTGACAGAGGTGATGATAAGATGATGGTGGTAATGAAAATGACGAAGGTAATGGTAAGATGGTGGTGATGTTGTGGTGGAGGAGGTGGTCATAGTAATAGTGGTGACATGATAATGATGATAAAAGAAAAGGTGGTGAGATGATGGTGAAGGAAATGATCGTAGTGATAGTTCGGGGGCGGATATGATGGTTGAAATAATTGAATGATATTATTAATGAATTATTTGATATAAAATATTTTACACAACTTTTATTAGTAAATAAATTAAATTTTAAGATAGATTTTGATTGATTTCTACTAAATATTTTATAGAAAAAACAAAATAGATTAACATAATGAAGGCCATTAACAATGCTCGTTTTAGAGTGGTGTCATGATGATGATGGTAAAGAAAAAGGTGATGAGATAGTAATTACGGAAGAAGTGGTCGTAATGATAATCAATAGGATAGATATGATTATTGAAATAGTTAAATAATACTGTTAATGAGTTATTATATAAAAAATATTTTGCATAACTTTTACAACTAAATTTTAAAATAGATATTAATTTATTTTTAGTTAACGAGTTATTATATATAAAATATTTTGCATAACTTTTACTAGTAAATGAACTAAATTTTAAGATAGATATTAATCGATTTTCAATTAATAAGTTATTATATATAAAATATTTTGTATAATTTTTACTAGTAAATGAACTAAATTTTAAGATAAATATTGATTGATTTTCAGTTAAATATTTTATGAAAAAACCAAAATAGATTAGCATAATAAAGGCCATTAACAATGCTCATTTTAGAGTGGTGATATGATGATGACAGTAAAAAAAAAGATGGTGGATGATGACGGTGGAAGAAGTGTTTGTAGGGATAGTTGGTAAGGTATATATAGTTATTGAAATAGTTGAAAGATATTATTAATGAATTATTATATATAAAATGTTTTACATAATTTTTATCAGTAAATAAACTAAATTTTAATCAATTATCGAAGGCCATCAGCAATTCTCATTTTAGCGCATATCTTGCACCCAAAATCAATCCCTTTCCCACCTGGACACCGTGCTTGATTTTTTTTTGTGTGGAGGCTGACCCAAACCCCCCACAAACACAGCCTTGACATGACTCAATTTCTTGATGACTGATGCCCCATTGCTTGAACCCAACAATCTTGAGCATAGTATCAATTTGGTGACCACCAGGATCAAATTGATGGAAGAATATAAGGCAATTATTGTGGCCGAATCATCCATTGTCCCGGAAAACCCAAATCCGGGTGTTGGGCCTCTTGCTTTGCATGAACACACCATTTGTTTCCCGTGACAAATCATTTTTTTTTCTTTCATTTTTCATCACTTTTCTTTAAGCATTTTTTATACTTATGCTCCGAACATTATATCTATGGAAAGAAGGAGGTACGGGCTAAGCGGATAGGAGGAAATTATTGTTTCAATCAAATACAAGTCCTGCCAAGGACTTGTATTTGATTTTACATGATTGGACCACGCATGAGCCTCACATCACTCTCATTCTCAGGCGTCACATTTTGTAACAGGAGTTCATCAAACCAATATCCCACACGGGAAATGCAAGTGGGCACCGGCCATTGTCCAATAATATAGAGACTATGGCCGATTTAGGCAATGTTCTTCGACAAGGGTAGCCGACTTACCGTGTCTATGATTTGAGCTGACGATTCACAACCTCCTATAATTTGGATCGATTGGCGTGGCTCTTCTTTGCACTGAAACCATTTTGATTATTCTATGGCATTTATGGGCGCGCGCATGTCATTGTGGATATTGCCTTTCACGCTGCAGGCCATTTTATAAAGCAAAAGCTTAATTAATAAATAGGACGTGTTTGGCTCAGCCAATCGTTCGTCTTTGGCATGCCCATAAGTGAAAAGAGCGAGTATTTCTGTTTGCATAATTGAAATAATATCTGCTGGTTTTAAATACGATTCAGTTTTTGTGCTTTGCCATGTTTACATCTCTCTCTCTCTCTCTCTTTTACTGTCACTAAGGTTATGTTTGGATCCGTTGTGCTTTAAATTAAACATCGATTAATTTAATTTTTAGAGGTAAAAGTCTCTTTTAAAGAGATTATTTAAAAAAAAAGAGTTTCTTCTTTGAAAAAAAGCAGGTAAAATTGATTATAAGAGGAGCATGTCTTTTTTACGTCACTTATAATCCACTAAAAATGATGATTTACTTATAAGTATTATAAATATGACATGGAGGAAAATTTTATTATTATTTAATAATATACTGGATAATATTTTTTTAAAGTATTTTTTAATTGAAGATAAATTAAAATAATATTTTTTTTATGATATTAGCCCATTAAAATCACCATAAAACACGTATAAAAACATTAATTTGATATCTCTAAAATAAAAAAATAATTTAAAAAACACTTTAAAAATACTGGGCTGCTGGTAATACTAAACACACCCTTAGCATGTCTTGCATGTATTTGTTTTTTACATTATAGTTTTGGGTTTAAATCTAATTAAAGAACGTGAAAAGGAAACTTTATATGAATATATTTTAAACTTTAATGACTTTTCTAAAACAATTACAAATAAACTGATTGAATTTGGTACCCAAAAAAAAGATTTTAAAATACCATAGCCATTAAAAAAACTAAAAATAAGTACACCTTAGCCATTAAAAAAAAACTCAACCTCAGTCTCCTGCAACTTGCAAGTATCATCACCACGACTTTTGCTCGCAGCATAAAGCCATTGAAAACTAGTGCCTCCCCACTAATCTATAAGACAAGGAAAACGACCTCGACTGCTCATGCTCAGGCCAGGCCTTTGCTAGTGGCTGCCCTGCCCACATGCTTTATTCACTTCCTAAATATATTTTAACTCATTTTCTATGCATTTCTATCCCTATCGTGCAATCAAAGGGCAAAACGTCGAGAGGCTTGACAAATGAATTCATCATCCTCTGCTTCCTGATAATGATATTTTCTCACACAAAAAAATCATTTGTCCACCTAAACCTACCCACTTCCTCGATCGGCCCATCTTTTTAGAATCTTTTCAGCATACTCCATTGATACATAATTTGTTCCTTTTTACCAGAGAGAGAGAAAAAAACGAAATCAAAGAACATCTTTATCATGAAGACTTGTGCTTGTTATTGTGTTTCTTAAAAATGATTTTCAATTAAAAATATATTAAAAAAAACCATAAAAAATCTTAATAATATTGATTTAATGTTTTTTCAAGCAAAAAATAATTTGAAAAACATTTTTAAAAACATGTTGTAACACAAAAACAAATACTCAGTAAATTAAATTTGTTTTTTATCTACGTCCAATTTATTTTCAGCATCACCCAAGACAAAATAGAATTAAAAATATGGGTGTTGGAACAAAACTTATAGCGAGTAGCAGGATCTAAATCTCATTTCTTACTTAAAGAACTCATCTGTGGACAAGTAAGAAGGTGAGGCCTAAGTGTTCACAAATTCTTGCCTCAATGTATACGGGTAACGACACTAAGTCCAAGCCTCTTGTTAACAGTAGCTTGAAGACTCAAACTTATTTATTTATTTATTAGACATCATAAAATTTAGCCTCTTGTTAAAAGTAGATTGAAGACTCAAATTTATTTATTTATTACACAACATAAAATTTAGATAAGTGCAATAACATCTCACAGGTCACAAGCAAGACTGCTGCGATGAACTGATCAAAGAGATATGTCACCGCACTAAGCTGGACTTGAACGGTAAGCATTAAGCAAGACTGTATTCTTAATCTGTATTGTCTTTGTATATTAAGAACGTCTGTGGCTAGGACTTGGACAAGCTGTGCTTAAAGAAGAATCATCTCAATATAATAAGAGGATTGGTTGAACGTGCTAGCAGTGGCTTTGACAGCCCACAATGAGCTTCACTTTTTCACACTAATCATGCCTCTTGGTGGCTTAATTTGGTATACATTTTCCTCTTTTCTTTTTTATTCATGATTTGACATTGATCTGCAGAGTCCACCATTTCACACTCCTTTTTTTGAACATTGCAAACAAGCTCCTCGACGCCATCCACCGATTAGTAGCTAGTTATTTCTAAGAATCAAATTACAGGAAGAAATTGTCGACGTGAGGTCCATCAGTGAGCACACATGTGTATGTAGGCTGAAAATATAAGGAGTAGGGTTTGAATGAGGAATGTCCTCGCATCCTGATGGACTCATTTACCTCTTGAATATTGCTCAAGGTGTCTATTTCTACCCTTTTAGTTTTGCATTCAGATAGTTCTTGTGATTGTTGTTTGAAAACGTAAAAAATTAATAAATTATAATTTTTTTAATTAATATTTTAAGAGAGAGTTTTTCAATGAGATAAATAAAAAACTGTGATGTATATTAATTAAGGAAATACTTTTAAATTTATAGTTAAGATATAATACAGACCGTAGTACATCCCATTACAAACAAAACAAATGTAGCTTTCATAAGAAAATAAAGCTTATCATCAACAAAAGTCTTCTCAAGTTTTTTCTTGAATTTCTCTTCGATTTCGTACAAGTTATTGGTTAGTTAATAAAATAAATCGATTCTATTTTAATAAATTATGGCACTATTTGTTTTTACAATGTAAAAGAGCTTTTGAAAAAAAAATTGGTTTTGCTTTAAATTATTTCTTTTTGTATTTATAAATTGTTTAGATATACTAATATAAAAAATACATTTTAAAAAATATTTTTTAAAAAAATATCTAGAAAAATAATTA